TGGCCTTTTTGTTATTGGAAAATGGAGGGAGGGATGGAGATCAGAGAGTAAACTAATCTTGAGGGCCTAATTTAGTACTCTCCTTCTTTCAAACCTTCTACATTCAAATGGCCATCAGAGCTCATCAATTCTACTTTTTTAAACAGCTGAATTCACTCCATCCTCATTGCTGTTTTGGTGCACGGCAGACTTTTTCTGTTTCCTAGACTATTTCTTGTGACAGCCTCTTAATTTGTCTACTACCAATATTCTCTCCTACAATCCATCTTCCCTGCTTTCCAAAATGCAAATATGACAGTGTCACTCCCCTGCTTGAAGCCTTTCCCTTCACCTTCAAGACAATAATACTAATATTAGGAAACACTTCGGCCTCATTATGTGCCAGGCACTCTTCTGAGTGCTCTGTGTTATTCCATTTCATTTGCCTTTAGTCCTAATAGCCCTGTGAGAAAGGTACATTATAATCTCCATTTTACAGAAGGATTTGAAGCGTGATAAAACCAAGGCACGGGATAAAGTCAAGATCTTCACCTTGGCCTTTAAGCAGCTGCCTGCTTCTTTAAACTCATTTATTCCCATTCATGACTTCACATTTTTATGTTGTGGTGACACCAAATTGTTTCAAGTTCCATTCACAACATGCTCTTTTATGCTCTTGTGTCTTTGCTTGGCTAGCGTCCATTGCCTAAAACATCTTTCCTTTAAAAAAAAATATTTTTATTAATTTCAGAGAGGAAGGGAGAGGGAGAGAGAGATAGAAACATCAATGATGAGAGAGAATCATTGGATCGGCTGCCTCCTGCACACCCTACACTGGAGATCGAGCATAACCCAGGCATGTGCCCTGACCAGAATTGAACCTGGGCCTGGGTCAGGAGGAGCCTGCAACCAAGAGCCTGCAACCAAGGTATGTGACCTCTTGGTTCATAGGTTGACACTCAACCACTGAGCCACGCTGACTGGGCTAAGACACTTTTCTTTTTATTCATCCACATTTTGAGCCACCTCTTCCAGAGTCTTTGCTGACCTTTCTCATGAGGATAAAATGTCCCTCCCTCAATACATCTATCTTGGCTCCTCACCACATACTGTAGTTACCTATTTGTACATCTGTGGCTGTCACCAGGCAGCCATGCTCTTCCAGGCAGGGGGCTATTCCTCTGTTCTGTGCACCAAGGTCCCAAAACAATGTGCTTTTAAGTGAATTGACTGTGGTAGGTTCTTTTCATCTGTTCTCTTTATATTCCATCAGTGGTCCTGTAGGATAGGTAATATTAGCCTAATTTTATGGAAAAGGAAATTTTGGAGACAGGAGTGGCTTGCCCTCAGTATCTAGACTAAGTGCTGGATTCTAACCACCCCTGTCTTACTCCAAACTCATGCCTTTCCCACTGCACTTTGTTACCTTCTTTATATTTCAAGGTGTAACTCAGAACAGTTTTCAAGCTGGAGAACATAAAGACTTTACAAGAGCTACATGAGCACAGAAATTGATACCCAGTGAATTGATATCAAGATCTTCATTTTCCAAAAAGTAGTTTTCCAAGATTCCTCAGGTAGTTAAATAATTACCATTTGACCACCAATTCCACTTCTGAGTATATATCCCAAAGAATTGAATGCACAAACTCAAGTAGATATTTGCACACCCACGTTTATAGAAGCATTTTTTTCACAAAAGCCAAGGTGGAAGCAACTCAAGTGTGTGTCAATGGATGAATGGATAAACAATGTGCGGTATAAATACAGTGGAATATTAGTTCCTTATCTTTCAACCCCTATACTTTGGCTGATTTCAGCACTATGGCTACTGGTCAGTTCTGAGAGAATGCAGTTCCTATTTAGAGCACAAGGGGGAGTATGAGACTAAACCTTTGCAAAAGGTTTGGGGGGGCGGGGGTGTGCGCGCGACTTATTTACTTCCCTTACCAAGCCCTATGAGAAAGCTAAATAGACAAGTAGACTTCCTGTAACCTTCTTCTGGACCCCCAGGGCTGTCTTCTGTTCCCTTTTTCATAGGGAATGGTACCACCCAAGTCAGAGTGCTCTCCTAGTTGCCGCAATTTCTTTTCTCCCCAATGTAGATCCAATCAGTCACCAAATCTTGTCCTTTTCATTTTTTAACGCCCCACTGCATTTCCCAGCTCAGATCTCATGATTTCTTTTGTTGTTGTTAATTCTCACCCGAGGATATTTTTCCATTGATTTTTAGGGAGAGTGGAAAAGAGAGGGAAAGACAGAAACACATTGATTGGCTGCCTCCTACACAAGCCCTGACTAGGCCTGGGTCAGGAGAGTCTGCAACCAAGAGCCTGCAACCAAGGTAGGTACCCTTGATTGGAATCAAACCCAGGACTCTTTGATCCACAGGCTGATGCTCTATCTACTGAGCCAAACCAGTTAGGGCTCATGATCTCTTGACCTCACTGGATCAGCCTTCTCTTTGGTCTCCCTGTCCCCTGTATATTGAAAACTCCAGTCCATCTCCCATTGTGAAGGCTCTCTTTATTACCTCTCCTTCCCATTTTGCTGAGTGAATTTCAAATTGTCCTCCCCCCCTTTTTTTTTTACACAGAGCAATTTAGTGTTCCTGCTTTCTCTTCCTACGTTTAACATATTCACACTCCTCAGGACCCTAAGTAAGATGAAGGGCCTTCTGTGCGTTAGGGTGTATCCTTCTTAGAAGGGAATTGTGGTTAGAAATAGCACTTTTTCTGTTGTAATAATGAAAGTGTTTCCAATTTACTGAGTGTTTACTATGTCCCTGGCACTTTGTCAAGTGCTTGCCAGTCGCTATCTCATTTTCTTACTTGATCTTCATTGTGAATGACCCTGGGAGCTAGCTCTCGCTATTGCTATTTCTACAAATGAGAATGAGGTGCCTGTGTCAGAAAAAGTAGATAATTTACATAAGATCACACAGCAAGCAAGTGGTGGAACCAAAGCTGTCTGGTTGCAAGTCTGTGCTCTTTCCATTTCACTAGATGGCCTTTCAGGGGAAGGAGAGGGAGAAAGTAATCAGAAGACCCGAGGCTACATAAACACAACACCATCTGTTCTCCTATTGTTTTGCAACTGTAAGAGGATGGTTTTATATGTTGGCTCATTATGCCTGTGAAGAATGAATAATCATTATCATCACACCCATTTTGAAATGAGGAAACTAGGGTTTTGTGGGAGAAAGGGAGCGAGAGAGCAGGCAGCATGCAATATTTGATCTTAAGATCACAGAGACACTAGTTCTGGGTGATTATAGAGATCAGAGTGTGGCCATGGGAGCCAGTGGCCGAGGTGATGTGAAGAGGAGACCAAGGACTGAGGGATCAGGAAGCCACATGGCTACTGAAGTCACCAGGAGGATGGCAGGACAGGGGCTAGTGAGGATGACCAGGAGCCAGAAGCTGAAATCGTCAATGCATAGGAAGCAATTGGGGGTCAGTGATGAGGAAGGGTAGAAGGTAATACGGCTGGAGCGCCAAGGAGGAGGAACTTTTGTACAAGCATGGAAGTAGCAGTGCTGCCGCTGCCCCCTGGTCCTGTGATGTGAGGGGAGTGGAAAGGTGAGAAGCCTTCTTGTAGAGGGCTACAAGAGGAGTCTTGGAGGAGGGTCAAACTTCGATAAAGGCAAAAAACTAATCTGACTACTCTCTGAGGAAGTAGAGGGTGTAGGAGTTTGTTGACAAAGGGACAGGATTCTAGGGGGCACAGTAGAAAGGGCTGCCAGGAGATGGACAGTGGGAAGGTGAGTGGAAGTTGGGGAGAGAAGCTCAGAACAGTATAAGAATGAGTCTGACAGAAAAGTAGATCAGAGGGGCTTTCAATTGGGTGGTTCCCAAATTGGAGAGACAAATTGTAGATAGGGTCATAATGGAACCTGAGGGGGAAATGGTTCTGGTATCTGACCTCTAAGATTTGAGATGGGGGAAGAGTGTGGGAGAGGACAATGATTCTAAACCAAAGCCGGCAGCTCGCTTCCGTGACTTCAGGAAGACTTGAAGTCCAGGTCAGGGTGGGAGGGTACGGTGCTAATTACCTCACATACCCGCCTTCTCTAGTGGAGTTGGGACTTCCCGATGACCAGGCCAGAACACCTTTCTCACTCTAGGCCGCTGCTGGTAATGGGGAGCCCCTGGAGGGTGTGTGTGTGTGTGTGTGTGTGTGTGTGTGTGTGTGTGTGTGTTTTGTCTAACAAGCTTGATGGCAATATGGTGACATTTAGAATGATCATTCAGGCTGCTGGTGCAGAGGATGGATTGCAGAGTGGAAGCAGGGAAACCCATTAGGAAGCGGTTGCACTAGTCCAGGCAAGAAGCGAGGAGGCCTGAACCAGAGAGAGAGCAGTGGAGACGGAGAGAAAGGGAAGGGATCGGTAGGATATGTTAAGGAGGTATTATTACAGACTGATGGGACGTAGGGCATAGGGTAGAGGACAATGCCAAGGTATCTGGCTTAGTTTCCTCTTGTAGTCAGCAGTTCAGATTTCGCGTCTCTCCCTAGGCTTCTGTGAGGATGAAGTGATGTGAGGGACAGGAAAGTGCTTTGGAAATGGCAAATCTCGGTACCCACCATCATCTACTTTCTCATCAAAGCTCTCTGATCACCCAGAAAGTTCAGTCTGTGGAACGAGGCGTGAGGATTAAGATAAATCACATAGAGCCCTGGCCGGGTCACTCAGTTGGTTAGAGCATCTCCCTACACGCCAAGGTTGTGGGTCCCGGCACACACAAGAAGCAACCAATGGATGCAAAAACGAGTGGAACAACAAACCGGTGTTTCTCTCTCATCCTCCCTCTCCCTCTCCCTAATCAATAAATTAAAAAAGATAAATCACGATGGTCACCCTGATATTAGGGAGCTCAGGGCCCCCGAGATACATGGACACCTGTGGGCAACAGAGTCGGGGCGGGGCTAACACGAACCCCGCCCCTGGGCGGGGCGTGGGCGGGGCCTGGACGGGCAGTAGCTGCAGCCGGAGCCTCAGCCCCAAGTCCGGGTGGTGGGGACCTGACCAGACCCGCTCGGACCTGCAGCGCCCGGCTCCGCGACCCCGCTGCGCCCTCCGCTGCCCGCTGCTGGGTCGGCCGTCCCGCTGAGCTTTTGGGGAGCAAACTGCTCTCCCGCACCCGGAGTCCCAGGTAAGGGGCGCGGCCCCGGCGCCCCGCCCGGAAGGACCGGGGACCGCTCCTCGACGCGGGGCGCTGAGAAACAGCTCTGGGCAGTGGAGGGGACCCCGAGGAGAAGGAGGTGGGGGAGGCCCTAAGGAAGGGGCACCCCTAAGGAAGGGGCACCGCCGCAGTGAAGGGGCGCGTAGCCTGAGGAGGGGTCGCTGAGAGAGGGTCTACCCGGACCTTGAGGGCCAGGGGAGCCCCGATGGCGGGGGGTGCAGGAGCAAGCAAGGGGGCGCAGGGGCTGGGGGAAATGGTTGAACGGCCGCTGGGAGCGCAGTGAGGGGGAAACGGAGGGCGTTTGGGGCCGGGGAGATGCCAAGAGGGAGAGCTTTGGGGGGGCCA